GTTTTTACCTGTGACTTTGAGGCCACTTCCACCCGTTAATTTTCGCTTCTACTCATGGCGCCCTTTACCGGTTTTCGTCATGCCTGGATTTTTTTTAAGACTCTTTTACTAATGGCTTCATAGTCATGCCTGTTTGTGGGTTTCACCATGCCCCTGTTTTTTTTGTTGAGCGATTTTACCCATAGCCTTTTTGGCTATGTCTGCCTGAAGCACTTTACTTTTACTCGCGATGGCTGTCATCGTGCCCGGCTTCTTTCTCTTTCTCTTTTTTTCTTTGAGGGGGAGGAGGGTCCATTTTATTGAGACCCGAGCAGTTTATGACTGTGCGGGGACGATGATGGAGGTATCCGCGAGAGGTGTCGGATGGTGCCCGCGGTAGTGGGATGTTAGAAGTACCCACCGGGAGGTAGAATGATGGAAGGGGTGGTGTGAAGAAGGTACTTACGAGGGGGCGGTATGAAGAGGGCACCCGCGGGGGGTGGAATGAAGAAGTTACTCGCGGGGGGTGGGGTGAAGCAGGTACTTGTGGAGGGTGGTTTGAAGAAGGTACCTACAGGGGGCAATGTGAAGAGGGCACCCGCGGGGGGTAGAATGAAGAAGGTACCCGTGGGGGGTGGTATGAAGAGGGCACCCGCGGGGGGTGGAATGAAGATGGTATCTGCGGGGGGTGGTGTGAAGAGGGCACCTATGGGGGGTGGTGTGATGAGGGCACCAACGGGGGGTGGAATGAAGAAGGCACCCACGGGGGGTGGTGTGATGGTGTAGACACCCCGTCGAAATTCTGGCTAAGGGAACTCCCAAAAACCTCGATTCTGGTCCTAAAGGATCACACAAATCCTAGTAGACCATAGACAACCTAGAACCAATTTAATTAATCCAAAACTACCCAACTCTTATCCCAACTTAAAATAGAGCCCAAGAGCTTTCTAACGGTCCAAGAATCTTCTGAATCAGACCTATGGATAAAACGATATAACAAATGACAATTTAATCCCTTAAAGACCCAACTGTCGGGCTGCAAGCCTGGTTGTAACGGACCCGACAGGCCCAGATGCAGCCTGATGATACAAACATGGCATTTATGATGTAGTTAATATGTTTTATAATGCAGTAAACGTGTTTTCTTTAATTAGATAAGGCTAAAACTTCAAGATAAATAAATAAAAATCCGAAAAAACTCCAAAAAAATTAGGAAAAATCACCAATGGAGTTCTATAAATACCCCCTTCATAACCCAAAAGAAAGAGACCATAAACTATAAAGAAATCCCTTAAAAATTCTCGAAATTAGAAAAATAGCCCAAAAGTACCCAAAAATAGAAAAAAATTCTTAGAAAAATCCTAAAAACTTAGAAAAAATCCTCAAAAATCCCAAAAAATTAGAGAAAAATCTCAAAAGTCATATAGAACCTCTAGAGATCCCAAAACCCTTAGGAAACTAAGAAAATTCTCTTATAATCATAAGAAAAGCCTAGGTAAACTCTACTTAAAATTATCAGCTTTTCCCCTTGCCTTAGGAATCCTAGATCTAGGTCAAAAGAACCATAGATCTACCAATTCAAACAAGAAAAGGCATCCAAAAAAGGAGATGGTGGTGTAAATCGAAATAGCGGTCTGATTTAAGCCCGAAACTCCAGGTTTCATGTCCTTATACGCAAGTATATCTTTCTTTGCTTAATTTAATTTGTTTTTCATCATTTAATTATCTTCTTTATTTTATTTTTCTTGAAACTAATTCATATTTAAATTTAATTAAATTTAAAAGCGTTTTTAGGTCAACATATGGATTTGCAACTGGCGCTGCCGGTGGACCCAGAAAAAGATCGGATCTGTAAAGATCTGGGATTTTTCTGAGCTCATAATTCAAGCGACCCCACTTTTTCTACCTTTTAAAAATTAATACAATTTTTGCTAAGATTTAAGTAGATCTTATCACATAGATCAGTGTAGATCGGAGTGTAAACAGTTTGGTGCCCACCATGGGGCACTTTGAGCTTCAGATCTGTATTTTAGACTTAAAAAGCTTCTTCTTTTTTTCTCGTATTTATTTTTCCATCAAAAATAAAAGTAAAAAATAAAAAATAAAAAAAAGAAAATCAAAGTAGATTTGAAAAGATTTCTTTTTTATTAGATTCGATCGTTTCTTTCTAGGTCTTATTTTTTCTCTCTCTATAAGAAATTTAGGATCATTTTTCTCTTAATCTTTATGATCATTCGGATTGTTTAGAACATATTCTTTTAGATTAATCTTTTAGATCAATTATTATTATTATTATTATTATTATTTTCTTTTATATCCTTCTTGATCATCTTTAGCTTAAGATCATCTTTATCTTTAGATCATCTTTTAGGTCAATCTTTTAGATCATCTTTAGATCATCTTTATCTTTTTTAAATAATATTCTTTTAGTTCAATCTTTTTTTAAATAATCTTCTCTAAAAAATATCTTTTTCTTTTCTATGCATCTTTATCTTGTTTTTTTTTAAATAGCTAAAAAAAAAAAAGATTAAAAAAAGAAGAAGATTTTTGCTGCATAATTTTCTAGTCATATCTGTAGTTCATAATGACTGAGATACTTAATCTACTGCCCATACTAGACCCAAAGAGCTATGCAACATGATCAACTTTTAACGGCACCAACCCCCATTACATTTACTGATGATGACATACCTCTGGGGTTTGATCGTTTTCACACCCATCCACACTATATCACTGTTTTCATGAGCAGTTATGAAATCAGGAGAGTGATGGTTGACAATGGGGCATCTCTTAACATATGTCCCTTGAAAACTATTACAAGAGTAGGGTTATCACAAACAAACATTGAGGTCTCAAACATCTCAATTGCAGCCTATGATGGGGCTCAAAGAGAACCTTAGGGATCATCCCTCTCACTCTTAAGATTGGGCATGTGGTCCAAATAGTGAGGTTTTATGTCTTTGACATTGAACCTTCTTTCAATCTACTTGTTGGCAAGCCATGACTACATGAAAATCTTGTTATGGCCTTCACTTTACACCAATGCCTGCAGTTCTCAACTGTTGGAGAGTAGCTCGCGTACGTTCAGATGCAGTCAAAGTAGTAAAAGAGAAACTCTCTGAAAATTTGAAAATCCAAGAGATCCCACCTTTAACATATAAGGAAAATTGTGTTATGATCCATGAAACACATGAAGTGTCTAAGAAATTGAAATTTGTTATAATCATTATGATTTCGGTTCGTGCACAATGTGGAATATGTTATTGGCTCAGAGGTATTGCCCCAGCTCTGACCTTGGAAATAATGGGCAAAGTGTTGTTGAGGCAATTACTCATTCCCCTCATGCTAAAGTAGACACCGACGATCGAAGAGGGTTGGGTTGCACACTTTCTAAACTTCATTATAAACTCAAATCTTCTGAGCATCCAAGTTTTATTCTTGGACGAATTCAAGGTCTTGACCACCAAAAACCTGAATTTCTTCCAAAATCGAAGATCACAATTGAAATTCGTCTAGAAGAAGAGCTGTTAGAATGACAATTTTCCCTGCTTACACTTGGAGCCCATATTACTCCCACTGAGGAACTCATGTTTCAAGCTAAGCAGTTCAAGACAAGATTCGACGGTAGTCCTACTGCTATTATTGAGGAGACCTTAGACATTAATTTATGAACTGAGAAAGATCTGACGATCACAAGAATTGGATGCTCTCTGTCACCAGAAGAACAAGATAAGATGGTCTCCCTCTTTAAAGAATACATTGACATATTTGCTTGATCCTATGAAGATATGCCTAGCTTAAATCCCAAATTGGTACGACACCATCTTGCACTCCATGAAGGGACAGGAGCCATCAAACAGAAACAACGTCGACAAAAGCCTCACTTGGAGTTGAAGATAAAAGAAGAGCTTGACAAACTTTTAAAGGCAAAGTTCATCTTACCTGTGGACTATCCGGATTGATTTGCCAATATCGTAGTAGTACCTAAGAAAGATGGGAGAATTAGAGTTTGTATCGGCTATAGGGACCTAAATAAAGCATGTCTTAAGGATGACTTTCCTCTTCCAAATATAGATGCCCTAGTTGATAACATTGCTGAACACCAAATGCTATCCTTCATGGACGGTTTCTCTGGCTACAATCAGATCCACATGGTGAAAGGAGACCAAAAAAAGACTTCATTCATCACGTAATGGGGGACATACTTCTATAGAGTCATGCCTTTCGATCTTAAAAGTGCTGGGGCAACCTACCAAAGGGTCATGACTTCTATATTTCATGACTTGATGCATGCAATTATGGAAGACTATGCGGATGACATCCTCGTCAAATCCAAAACTCGGGATGCCCATCTTCTCAATTTGAAAAGAGTATTTGACCGAATTCAATAGCATCAATTAAAGCTAAATCCTCAGAAGTACGCCTTCGGTGTTGAGTTTGGCAAGCTACTTGGCTTCATTGTGAGCCAAAGAGGAGTAAAAGTGGACCCAATGAAAATGAAGGCTATCTCAGAAATGCCACCTCCAAAGAATATTCAAGAAATTCGTGGGTTACAAGGTAGAATATAGGCTATCCCAAGATTTATATCCCAATTAGCTAAGAAATGCGGTCCATTTAATCGTCTGTTAAAGAAGGACACCCCATTTATCTGGGATGAGACATGTAAAAAACCCTTCAACCGTATAAGGGAGTACCTTTCTAACCCATTGATCTTGAGTCCACCTGATTCCAACAAACCTCTATTGCTTTACCTTGCTGTGACAGATAAGACAATGGGGGCGATGTTAGGGTAATATAATGACCAAGGAAAAGAGAAGATCATCTACTACATCAGTAAGACAATGGTCGACTATGAAATACGATACTCGGATGTGGAGAAACATTATCTAATCTTAGTGTGGGCAACTCAAAAGTTGAGGCATTATGTGTTGTCTCAGACCATCAAGTTGATATCCAAGATGGATCCACTCAAGTACCTGCTAGAAAGATATGTTCTAAATGGATGATTAGTCAAATGGAGAATGCTCCAAAGTGAATTTGACATCGAATATGTTACTGAGAAATCAGTCAAGGGGCAAGCAATTTCAGATAATTTAGCTAAACATGCCTTACCTGACTACATCCCCATCAAAACGGATCTCCCTCATGAGGACCTCTTTGTCATTGAGGATCCCACTTGGGAGTTATACTTTGACGGGGTTAGGAATGAATATGGCACTGGTGTAGGAGTCATCCTATGCACTTCAGAGAAAAAAATGTTTCCAACCGCCATAAGGCTCAATTTTTCCTGCACAAGCAATGCTGCAGAATATGAAGCTTTAATAGCTGGTCTCGAGAATGCCTGTGAACTCCAAATTGAACAATTACGGGTCACGGGAGATTCTTTGCTTGTAATAAATCAAATTAACGAAGAATGGAAAGTTAAAGTCAAAAAGCTTCAGCTCTACTGGGACTCAGTTGTAAAGTTGTCAAAATGCTTAAAAAAAGCAACCTTTCAACATGTGACTTGGGAAAACAACCGGTTCACCAATACTTGGGCCACTCTCACATCAATGGTGGATATTCATCCCCAAATGAGTGTCCAACCATTCTACATTAGACACAAGAGTGATTCTTCTCCTCCCAAGATGGAGTTGGAAGAGTAGGATCTAGAATAAGAGAGGGGAGAAGAAGTGTTCACCTTCGGGGCTATCCAGATAGTCAAAGCTAAACCTTGGTATCATGATGTATCAGTCTTACTCAAAGATGGAACGTATCCCGAAGGAGCCTCAAAGAGATATAGGGATGCCTTAAGAAGACTCTCAATCACCTTCTTGATCAAAGACGACATCCTCTACAAGAAGTCCTTTAAAGGAATCCTCCTAAGGTGTATTGACCAACTAGAAGTCAACACGGTGCTCAAAGAACTACATAACGAAGGAGGACACATATCCTAGCTCAGAAAGTCAAAAGACAAGGATACTATTGGACTACTATGGCAAAAAACTGTTGGAAATATGTGAAGAGATGTCCTAAGTGTCAAGTTTATGAGGATCTCATGCATGCTCGTTCCATGCCACTCAATTCAACACCTCATGTCTGGCCATTTTCCACGTGGGCCTTAGACATAATCGGAATGATAGAACCAAGAGCTTATAATGGACACAGGTTTATCCTCACTGCTACTGAATATTTCACAAAGTGGGCCGATGCTGGTTCATTCACCAAAATAGAAGGACAACATGTAATTAGATTTATTACAAACAACATCATCCATAGATTTGGAGTCTCCGAAATGATCATCACTGATAATGGGACTAACTTCAAAAATGAAAAAGTGGCAAAGATGTGTAAAAGATTTGGAATCGATCATAAGTTCTCTTCGCCCTATTACCCCCAAGGCAATGGTCAAGCATAAGTGACCAACAAAGCCCTCCTAAAGATCATCAAACGTACCATAGAAGTTGGCAAGGATTCACATGAGAAATTACAAGCTGCACTCTGGGCTTATAAAACCACTGAGAAAACAGCCTCAGGGATGACTCCCTACTCCTTAGTCTATGGCATGGAGGCAGTACTTCCAATCGAAGTGGAAATACCCTCTCTTAGGGTACTTGTTCATAAAGAATTAGACTACAAGCAATAGGCTAAAGGCCGACTAGCCACTCTTGAAACCATGGATGAGAGACAACTACGAGTAGCTGACAAAATGATATTCTATCATCATAGAATTGAGCGTGCATATCGAAAGAAGGTGATACTCCGAGAATTCAGAGTTGGGGTCTAATTCTAAAAAAAATCTTCCATTCGATGGTGAATCCTCACCCATTAGGAAAGTTCAAGCCTAATTGGGAAGGACCATACCTCATAACCCAAATCCATTCAGGAAATTCCTACAAACTCAGAAACCTTGACGGACAAGAACTGAATGATTCTATCAATGCTATGTACCTCAAGAAATACTACCCCTAAAAAACAAAAAGAGAGAAAATGAGCTTAGCCAACCCAACGAGAGATTGAAGGACTAGGATATTGAAAGTGACTCCGAGTCCGATGATCAAAGCTCGAGTGAAGCAATCCAAGGTGGAAATATTCTATAAGAATTCGACAACCTTTGTCAAGGAAGTACAAGGAAAATCTAAGGATACCAAGACTGGGACCTCCTTGTTAGTTGGAAGAAGGAAGGATGATCGAGTTCTTATCTGTTTTTTTTTAGGACGAAGTGCGACAAGAAGGAAAAACAGCCACAAACTCTTGTCCTCCTCCTCTGTTTCCATCTTCTTCAAAAGAAAAGGAAAGAAAAAAAAAAAAATTTCGTTGAGATGAAAATCGAAAAGAATCTTGAGCATTGGAAAAAAGGCGACTGGGCTGAACAACTAACAGGGACCTTAGCGGCAGAGAAAAATAAAAAAATATAGTAAAAAAAAGTAAAATCTGCCAGGCTAAAAATCCGAAAGAAACCTCGAGCATTGAAAAAACAGGCCACCGGGCTAAACACCCGAAAGGGACCTCGGGGTGATAGAAAAATAAAACTTCTTTATCTTTTCATCTCTTCTAAAAAATCTCCAAAAAAACTTCTATTTTTAAGTCAGAATGAAGTCAGAAAGCAAAGGAAGGCATCAGTCCAAGTAAAACTTGAAAAGGCTCGACTACTTGAACTTCAAAAAAATGGTAGTGGAGGAACAAAATCGGAAGTCCAAGGATATTTTGAGCACTCTGAGACACATCTCATATTATTCAAGGCACCGGTTTGCTCGGAAAAAGAAGAAAAAGTTTTTCTTGAATTGTGACATAAGAGCCAAGATTGGAAGATGGGAAAGTACTTATTGACTCCTCGTCCTGAAAGTCATAAGTAGAAGCTCGAAAAGCTCATGAAAAAAAAAAAAAGAAAAAAGAAGAAGAAGAAGAATCAGAAGGGAGAGCTCCATGGTAGCATGAGCCTAAACTACTGACCAAAACTTGTTTTTCAAAATTTCTCATCTATCTTCAAAATTTCCCCTATGTATTTCGTGAGTTTTCAGAAACCTTAATTTCTTTGGTTAAAACGTAGCCCGAAACTCTTTTTTTTTTTTCAAAATTCAATCTATTTTCAAAACTTTCTAAATTTTTTTTAAAAAACGAAGGAGTTTCATAGAGGCTTGAATATGATGCGTATGCCGCCACCAAATCCTAGATTGACATGCTTGCAAACCCTTAGGAAAACAAAGATCAACTCATAGGTTCCCATACCAAAAACCTTGAACCTGTGGACCCCAAGAATCAGAATCGAAGGTGAACAAGATGTTCAATTAGCCCGAAATTCATCATCCCATCATTTCTTCTAAATCAAAGTCCCATTCGATTGGAAAATCAGACCCCAAGAAAAAGGTCTAAAGTCGAAGATGAATACACTGACAACTTCCCATATAGCATTGGAGTGCCTACAACATGGAGTTTCACTGGCTCAAAGATAGTACGGTTCCTATTGACTGTCACTTCGGATCCCGATTGTTGGAGACTTCTCAATCGTACTAAGTCTTAGGGATCAAAAGCATCCATCGATGAACCGCCTACCCAAAGGGTACTGGTCATTCAAAAGAATGATTCATCGCAAAAGGTTTTCCTTCCCCACCATGTCTTAGGTTTCTACTTCTTTTCCATTTACCTGGTGCCCTAGGTAAATGCCAAAGAGGGGCAACTGTAGATACCCCCTCGAAATTCTAGCTAAGGGAACTCCTAAAAACCTAGATTCTGGTCCTAAAGGATCACACAAAAGTAGATCATAATCAACCTAGATCTAATTTAATTAACCCAAAACTACTCAAATCCTATCCCAACTTGAAGTAGAGCCTAAGAGCTTTACAACGGTCCAAGAATCACATGAATCGGACTTACAGATAAAAAGATATAATAAGTGACAATTTAGTCCCTATAAGACCCAACTGCAGGGGCCGCGGGCCGGGCTGTAACGGGCCCGACAAGGCCAGACACAGCCTAATGACACAGATGTGATATTTATGATGCAGTTAATGTGTTTTATGATGAAGTAAATACGTTTTCTTTAATTAGGTAAGGCTAAAAACTTCAAGATAAATCCAAAAAAAGACGAATGACTCCAAAAAAATTAGAAAAAATCACCAATAGAGTTCTATAAATACCCCCGTCATAAGCTAAAAGAAAGAGACCAGAAACCCCAAAGACATCCCTTAGAAATTCCCAAAATTAGAAAAATAGCCCAAAAGTACCCAAAAATAGAAAAACATAAAAAATTCCTAAAAATTTAGGAAAAATCGTCAAAAATCCCAAAAAATTAGAGAAAATCTTAGAAGTCACATTCAACCTCTAGAGATCCCAAAACCCTTAGAAACCTACGAAAATTCTCCTCCTATCATAAGAAAAGCCTAGGTAGACGCTACCTAAAATTCTGTGCTTTTTCCCTTGCCTTAGGAACCCTAGTTCTAGGTCAAAAGAACCTTAGATCTACTAATTCCAGCAAGAAAAGGCATCCAAAAAAGAAGACGATGGCGTAAATCAGAAGAGCGGCCTGATCCAAGCCCGAAACTCCGGGTTTCGGGTCCTTAGAGGTAAGTATATCTTTCTTTACTTAATTTAGTTTGTTTTTCATCATTTAATTATCTAATTTATTTTATTTTTTCTAGAAACTAATTCATCCTTAGATTTAATTAAATTTAGAAGCGTTTTTGGGTTAAAATACAGATTTAGAGATGACACTGCCAGTGGACTCAGAAAAAGACCGGATCTATATAGATCTTGGATTTTTCTGAGCCCATAATTCAAGGGACCCTACTTTCTCTAAATTTTAAAAAATAATACAGTTTTTACTAAGATTTGAGCAGATCTCATCACAGAGATCGACACAGATCGGAGTGTAAACATATGGACTACCCTGAAGAAAGCGTGCTTAGAGAGGCCGCGCTCGGTTGACAAGGCGCCAGCATGCTAGGGCGAGGTCAGATGGAGGATGCCAAGTGGATGGTGATGCCTTGGCACAAGATCTGCTTGAGTGATCTGCTGATAACGCCAGGCTTACAGCATGGCGGCATGAGATTTAACCGTGATCCTTCATGAGCAACACCTTGTAGGTGAGGCATGAGAAGGTTTAAATGTCACAGTCAACAAGGCACCGTTGTGGTGACACATGGCCGAGAAGCTGGGGGGTATGCTGCTCGAGAAGTAGCAAGCTTTGTTGACCCTAAGCCCTTGAAAAGGGGGCTAGGCAAGGAGAGTGTGAGGGTAGCTTTTTCCCCTTTGTGACGAAGTTCCTTTTCTTAATGCTCCTTTGTGTGGAGGTAGTGCAGAGACTTCATTTTCTTCGAAGAAACTTGGCCAGTGAGTGATGCCCGATGTGGGGGCTAATTGCTTGACACCGGCCTTCGGGGACGTGCGCGGGCGTTAGGTGTCTTTGTGAAGGTGTTCACCCACACGGAGGCGACAATGGACCCATGACAGAGGGCGAGCTTGTTACTGTAGAGCTCCTCTATTTGTGCGGGACCTATGGCGTGAGGCCCACGGCTATGTATAAGGTGTTGGGAGCCAGTCATCCTCATCAAAGGATGAGTTGATCAAAATGACGGGGCTGGCATGCCACAGCGTGCCCCATAAGTCAAAATGAGAGGGCTGGCATGATCTGGAGCATGCCAACGTTTGAGCTCTATCTGGTTTCGGA